GCCCTGAAGGCTGAGGCCACTGGGAAGTTTATTGTTATCGCTAATCCAACAGTTTTTGTGAAAGTACAAAGGACAAGAAAGTGACACACACACACACACAAAAAGTAGAGCAAATGCTTGATGAAAAACTGGCTGAACTGAAAAACACATAAATACGTGTACATTATTATGATACTAGTATCATATCAAGCCTGAAAATATATTTCAAAACTGTCTGTCCACAGAGACTTCTGGTTCACTGCCTGATAAAGAGTATTGTTACGACAGCGGAAGTCACGTGACGCTGGAAGCATGCACACTGGAGTTTCTAGAAGGATCATGACTGTTCCTGGCAACTTTAGTCTTTTCTAGGCGCACTCTATTTTAGTATGTAATCCCGGCAAATAACGTAGAAATATAATTGCAGATAGACAGATTTAGATATAGATAATTGATTCAAGTGAGCGGTAGTGACCGTAAGAAAAGTGCGTGAATCGTTGTGAATTATAGCGTGTGTTTAAGTTAAAATGACCGTGGAAATTCTGTGTATTGCAAAGTTGTATTGAGAAATGATAAACTAGTTTTATTTAAGAAAGGACTTGTATCGCTGAAGTTTCTCAGGAAGAATTTATATCGGAAATTAACAAACGACAAGAGACGTAACAGTAGTATTAGTTAAATAAAGCATTTTCATATTAAACAGTAACATTGTCAGGCTCCCTCATTTTTGCTGTTCTTAGCAGTCCTTGTTCTGCATTCCCTTTCTTATTTACTCTGCTTACACACAGTCTTGATGGGTCCTGGAATTTGTAGGAAAAGGTATTGGAATTGGTTGTTTAGATAAGTGTGGGTACCTTGTTATTAAGTTAGGCAAGACTAGGTCTTGTTCTCACAACAATTGCAACTTGCAAGACAGGCTGCTGGATCTATTTCAGACAACTTTACTACAGGAATATACAAGTACAATTAAGTGCTGGAACAGGCGATATTGCAACTAGATTTGCGCTGATGATGCCTAGTACATCACCAGTAATTACATTTACAGTATATTTGCAGAAACATTCGCCAGTCTTTTTCTTGGAAGACAGAGTTCACTGTGATGTGTGCTTCAAAAGCACTAAGCAATGTGATGAAGATGTTGTTTGCAGCAATGTATCATTTCATCTGAGAGATATTCATTGGTATTTGCTATCAACAGTGACAACAGCCTTGAATAACCGTTTGAAAAATGTGCATAACATAAATTTGATAAAGAGCACTTGTACTAAGTTCTAGCAAATAAGCAGCATGCCACAATGCAGTGTAAGTTGTAAGTAGATTTAGGCCTAAGGCCTGCTGCCGAGTGCTGGTTTTATTTGTTATTCTTGTTTCCCAGGTTACTAATGCCATGTAATGGTACTTACGGTTGGGACAGTAGATTTAGTAAACCTACTATCTTAATCTAGAACTAGACCTAATGTTACAATTTTGGACATATAGGCAGTGGTGGGATTCAGCCGGTTCGTGCGAGCCTGTTCTTAGAATTTAATGACCTCCACGAACCGGTTATTAACAACCGTAATTATAGGCCTAATAATAAC